GATTGACACATATCACGTGAGAACTAGGCAAGGTCAATCAAAGAATCATGCTAATTCTTATTAAGCCAAATTATGAGGTTCTCACTAATTTTAACTGACTCTTACTGCACCCTGTGTGGTCAGCAGAAATAAGGGCTAGCTAAAAATTCAGTCTGCGTGCATCGTGTCACAAACAGTACTTTTTCCTTGTTGAACCTGGTGGGAGAGCTCATTCTGAGTTGTACTTATCCATGCTGAAGTACTGCAAAACTGAGAAGTTCTTGCTAGAATGCAGAAAACATAAGATATTTTGGATGCTGTGCTGTGTCACAAAAAATTCTGTCATCATGAAAAATTAAATTTTCTCAAATAAATAGAAATTGCCAAGAACGCTACTTAACAGGAGCAAAGAAACAGACAATTGGACCAAATATATCTGTTTCTGTACAAGTATTAAACACTTAGGAAAAAAAATCAAAACTAGTGTTACTGGTTATAAATGAGAATGTTGATGTAATAGGCGCATTAAAAACCTGGTGAACGAAAAATAATCATTATGACAGGCTAGTGTCAGTGACAAATTACATGGGAAAGACAGGTAAAGCTATGTCTATCGTAGATTAACTGTGTCACAAAAGCATAGAGTCCCTACAGAGTGAAATTACAGGACCAAATAGGAAATGCAGAACGGTAGCACCACAGGACTGCAGTACAGTATTAGGACTGTGGTACTGACTGTCCTGCCTAAATGACAGCATTGCCTGTGACATCCTAGACACGATCAAACAGGCATGAAGGCAGGAAATGCAATAACAACGAGAGACATCATTTACCAAATTGAGATTGCATAAATGGGCTTGGAGGGTGATTCTGAGTGAAATTTCAAGTTTTGTAAATGATTGCTTACATAGAGGCTATTTGTTTATCCTGAAAAAGAAACAAAAGTAATTCTAAATAACTCTAGGACTTGGTCTTAAGCAGTGACAGAAAACCTGGTTCAAAATACAGCTAAAACCTCTGTGTGAGAGCAACTGATGTACTTAGATGCGGCATTCTTGAAATAGGGGAAAAAATCTCCCATGGCAATGTTTAACTTCAAAGAGGAAACTGCATAAAGATGTGAAAACTGTTTAGAAAGAAAGAGAGCCAAAAATTAATATGTTTATAGGAGTCACGAAGATTGTTTAAATATGGGAGCTCACTGCTAGCCAACTTCCAGAAAAAGGCTTTAAAAGACCAAAAAAAGGTTTGCACTGCTGAACAACAGGGTGAAGGAGTAAGAGGATGTCTCTTATTAAAAGGACTTCTTTTATTAGAAGTAAAAGAGCTTTCTTCAAGTTGAAGTTGTGCTTAAATGAGGAAAATAAAGGATGAACAAGTTAAATATATTAACAAAATAAGGCAGGCCAGAAGAGATTTTGAAGAACAACTTGGCAATAGTAGTAGTAAAGCCATTTCCAAGCTGTCTTTTAAGTAGGTAAAATCCTGACAGAAAATCTACAGGACTAGTAAATGATCAAAGTAGGGAAGATATTTAGAGGCATATTCATCCTGGCATATTTCTCTGTCAAGTACATACCAGAAGATTTCTCAGCAATAAAAGCATTGTAAGAAGAGATTTCAAAAGACACTGGAAACAATGAAGAGTGAAAAATTACCAGGACCAGATGGTATCCGTGCACCTTAAAAGAACTAAAGTACAAAACTGTCAGGCCAGTAATGATGCTTAAAAGTTTCCTGGTCTGAAAAAAATGGAGGTGATAAATAGACCCAAATTGATAAACTGGTGGGAGCTTCAATACTTCCTAAGGTCCCTTCTAAATCATTAGATTTATGAATAAGTATGATAAAAAGAGGAAGAATCAGCATGGCTTTCATAGAGAAACCCAGAATCTCTAAAATTTATTTGGAAAAGTAACTGAACATATGGACAAGGACGATCCATTTGATAGAGGCTAGTTGATCTTCCAAAATTCCTTTGAGTATGTCCTTCATCAGAGGCTCCTGAAGAAACTTAAGTCTTGTAGGAATAGACATACAGGCCTCTAAGTAATAACTACTTAAAACACAAGAAACAAATAGTAAGAATATATTGTCCATTTTTGTAATGGAGGTCACTCATCACTAGAGATCCAAAGAATCTTTAAAAGCCTGTGAAGTTCAACCTACAGATGTTTTGAAAGATACAGAGAGGGGAGGTGATGACAGAGGTGACAAAGTTCACTGATGGTACTGATGTTATTCAGGGTAGGAGAAATGAAAGACTACTGTAGAGTCTTGCAACAATGTCTCATGATACTGATAGACAAAACTAATTGTTAATAAATATAATATGCATAGTGGGTAGGTCTTAGCTTATGTATGCAGATATGACTTAGAGTTAAAATTGCTAGTTCTAAAAAAAAAAACCAAACCCAAAAACCTCACTGTGTTCAGTAGAGCACAAAAAGCAAGCAATGTTTGAAAATTTTTTTAATAGGGAACAAAACAGCAAACATCACGATTCTGCTACACAAACCTATCATACACCCAAATCTTGAATTCTGTTTGCAATTTTGGCCTCTTCTCAAGAAGCAGACCTCTCATAGGATAATCAGAAGCGTGGAAGGGCTTGTCCGGAATAGCTTCCAGAAAGGTCACAACTACGTAAGGTTGGGCTCTTCAGTCTGGGAACACGAGGGTGGAAGGAAGGATCTGTACCAGCATGTGTGGCACGGAGAAAGTAAATGAGGAAGGACATTCCCTGTTTACCACATGGGTCACCAGATGCATGGTGCATCTGCTATTGGCGGTGGGTTCAAAACAAGCGAGAGGAAGGGATTTTTTGTACAGTGCATAGCTGAAATGTGAAGCTCACTTTCACAGGCTGTTGTGGGTGCGAGTAAATTACTGGGATTCAAAATATTGTTTGACAAAATTAATTTGCATCAAAATGCAGTTAGGCCTACTGAAAACTATGACCTCAGCTTAGGAAGCCCTCGGAGCTGCTGCTTTCTAGAAGCTGAGGTGATTTCCTGAGGAGCATCAGTACATGCTCGGCTCTTACACTCTTCCCTCAGCAACTGCAGTTGTCTGGTCTGAGAGATAAACCACAGGTCTGGGTGCATCTCTATTCTCACCCAGTCCAGACGTTGTATTTGTTTTAATGAAATATGACTTGCTGTGTAGTTCTTATAGCAACTGTTCCTGCTTATTCAGGTCCAACATTTACTTTATTTGTAGCTCTGTATTAAAACAATCAAGAGGCATTTTTTGTTATTCAGTCATGGGGCTCTGATTGATGAGTGGGGAGCGGATGTGATTAGGAGGCCTGAAAATTCAGCCCTCAGCTCCTGCCCTGCTGTGTGGTTGCCTACTTTGCTCGTGTTTCATGGCCTAAACTCCCTCAGGTTGTAGGGTGGTATCTAGGGGTGATGACTGCCTTGTGCACCATCAGAGCCTGTGCAGCAGAGTCCTCACTGGCTGGACCACACTGCAGGTACCTTTTTTCTCCAGAAAAATCCTCATATTTACTGTTGTTATTTGTGGGCTCTTTTTAGAGTTGAGAACTGCCTATGTCTTCGTTTTGTGTCAACCCCGCTCTTTTGCATCTCCTCTTTTGCTTACTACCGAATGCGTACTGGACTGATGTTGTGTTTCTTCCATTTCTCCTCACCCCAATACATGACCTCTGAAATAGATGGTCCTGGGAAAAGACTCTGTTCATGCTTTCTAGATGTTTTATTTTTGTTTAAAGCAGATTGCAACTGGCCTTGAGGGAGAAGACTTGGTTTTACTAATTGTTTGATTTTAAACATTTTTCTACCAGACTGGCTTATTTCGTTTTTAAGGATTTCTTTATTCCTATTTTTAAAATAATGCAGTGTATTTGGAATACTCATTGTAAACATGTAATCCTTAGGTGCTGGCATCATTCTGTTTCTGGTGTGATTTCAGCAGAATCATCTCTTCAAATTTTGAGAATACATGGCTACATCCCATCTTTGACATTTCTGTCAATCTAACTCAGAATCTCTGTATTACTAAAAATCAAATTGATTTTGCTGATCCTCTTACTCATTTTTCTTTATATTTGTCGTACCCAATTCTGATTTTCAGGAAATAGGTGCAATATTATATTTATTTCAATGCAAAAGTGATAAAGTCTTCTTTAACTTGGTTCCTTTTTTTTTTTGTCTTCCATTTCTCAGAGCAACATTTAAGTCAGCTTCTGTACTTCAAACACAACACTGTCCCTTTTGATTTTAATGGAGGCCTAACTCTTCAACAGTTACCAGCCTCAAATCCTGAAAATAACTGGGTGTATAAAAGGAATTATAAGTCTTGAGTGAAGAGTTGCAGAGAGGATGTGGAGAAGATTAGCCAGTGTGTTGGAGATCTTTTGCAGCAGTGGGCAGTGATCTGTGCTGCTCCTTGCATGAGAAGCACATGCTCTCATACAATTCCATCATTTAGAGAGAAGACACCATTTTGATAATTTACTACAAGTTATGATATCGACCATCAGCATTCCTTGGTTTCACTTGTTTGAACTAGGTATCTTTTTAGGAAATACTACTGTTTTTATTTTTAAAATTGTTGCAGTAGGAACCCATCAAACCCCTGGTAGCAAATTGTTAACTGTTTTAGGCAGGTTTTGACCCTTTTTAATATCCATCTTATTGGTTTTTTAATTGTTCTAGTTTCTCAGTCAGAAATGCCCTGTAATTCTGGAATGGCTTGAATGGACAACATGGAGATACAGTTTAGCTGAAGGCCAGGCCCTGCCTTCCTATCACAGGATTTTGGTAAAGTGGTACCACAAGAGGGGGAAAAACAAACATTAAGGTAGATCTGGAAGTAGATCACATAATATAATCATATTTTCTTATTTAGTTACACTCTTCTGATAGTAATTTCATATGATACTGAAAAGAACTTACTTTGTAATGGCCAGTATGTGGATGTTGAGATCTTGTTATGGCAGGCTATTTCATAGCCTAATTATTTCCTTTTTTTTCCTTTGTCATTTCTTTGTATAGGTGGAAAATGTTCGGTTACTTGATCGTTTATCTTCAAGAAAAGCTACACTGGGAACCTTGTATTTAACAGCTACCCATGTCATATTTGTCGAAAATGGTTCTGAAACTCGTAAAGAAACCTGGGTATGAGTTTTTGGTTTTTTTTCAGTTAGCTGTGTGTGGCATTTTATTGATGGTAATTTGAAAATAACTTGCAAAACAGTTTAAACATAGTGAATTAGTTCATATGGATGCTTCAGAGTGTGGGAAATTCCAATCTGGTAAAGTCTGAAAAATTTCGGTGGATTCTAGATATTGCAACACAGTAAGAGGAGCAGTAGGACCTTCGCTGTACAAATTCCAGATGAGATTGACTGAGAAACAGCTGCTGTAAACGACAACATTGCTCCTATTGTCCAGGAAGAACTGAGGACAAATGCTTTAAATGTTAATCACTACCTTGACGAAGTCAGCTCTTGGCTCTCTCCCTGGCTGCTTGTGCTGCTTCAGTGATTTTGTTGTTTTATTTTTTTTTTTTTGCATAATGTAGTATTTTGGGTTCCCTACTTTGATTGATAATGTACGTTGCAGGTATATATATAGGTACAGATATAGCTCTGATGTCATACCATTTTGAAAGTCTTTTATGTAGCTTAATTATGAATCCTTTGTCTAGTTTTGTAATGACCATTAACTCCGTCCTCTTTCGCTCCCACTGTTCCCCTCCTGATTTTTATTGTAATGTTTCATCTCATCTTACACAGTTTAAGATTATATCAGGACTGTCTTTCTGCCAGTGAAGAAGCCCAATATTTTAGCCTTGTCTAACATGCTGGTTCACCTTTTCACTGTGCAGATAGATGAAAAGAGCTCTTTTTCTGACAACTGTTAGCTTTCACTAAAGCAAACAAACAAAAAGCTTTACATAGCATGTCCAGGCTTATGTTTGAACAGCTGAAATGCTCTAGAAGCTCTTATTTTTTGGTTGGTGTTGCTTGGGCCTGAAGCTGGAAATAGGAACAGAACTACCAGAAGAGAAGTTTGGGGATTTTCTGAAGCAGTAGTGGAAGCTACTGTGCCTGCCCTGGCACATCGTTATAAATAACTGTTTTTCTTCCTAAAGATTTGAATTGCTTGGCATAACCGTTTTCAATTCACTTGCAGGTTCTTCACAGCCAGATTTCCTCTATCGAGAAGCAAGCCACCACTGCCACTGGTTGCCCATTGCTGATCCGCTGCAAGAACTTCCAAGTCATCCAGCTGGTCATCCCTCAGGAACGAGACTGCCATGATGTTTACATATCTCTGATACGTCTGGCACGACCAGGTATGAGAAGGAAAATGGCACAAAAGCCAGTCCTCATCCTGAAGAGGGAAAATGCAATGGAAGAAATGTAGCTCTGCATCTTTCACCTTTGTGGGTTACGAAAAAAAGGCTTCATTAGGGATGTGTTAAGAGAGAAAAGGTCTCTGAGCAGACAAGCATGTGAAAATAATCACTTATAGAGAAATGAAGAAAGCACATTGTAACAAGTGGTTCACTCTATAAAGTACGATAAGAACTTTTGTTTAAAATAGTACTCTAGGGTATCACAGGCCATAAAATATATATAATGTTATTTTATATGTAACTGTTGCTTACTGGATGCCTCATGTAAGTATGAATTTAGGAAAATACTGACAACCGTCTAAATCCAGATAAATTTCATATTCATTGGCAAAACCCAATATATTTTGTGGTCATGTCAAGATTTGAATTTTCCTTTTCTATGCTGTGCCTAAATTTCTTAAAATCAGTGAAAGGTTTTACAGCAAGTAGTTTATTTATTCCATTGGATTGCCTGTGTTTCAGCCTACATTTTGAATGTGCCCTTTTTGAATTGCTGAATTCAGATCAAGATCCTTTTGAAACCTTTCCTCTTTTCGATGAAAGCCCAAGTGTTGTGTCGAAGTCCAGCATGTGGTCCCCTGCATTATAGCTGCTCTCCTAAGAACCTGCTGACAAAGCTTCTGGTTGGTTGGTTTTACATGATAGCTGTAGAAGTACAGCACCAACCTCTGTCCTTTACTATTATTTTAACAGTACGCAAAGAAAATGTCTACTACAGTCTGTACCAAATTGACAACACTGGCTTTAATTTATATCTTGCTAGGAGAACACGAAATTTATCTCCTATGTAGAGGGGAGGTGGAAATTGCACAGTCAGCCAGCACAGCTACTCAACTTTATAAAGTGCCTTCTATAATTAGAATAGTAGTAGTAGTAATATGCAACTGCAGCAGATGTAACTTGATATATGCTGGGTGATGCAAGATGAAAGTAGTCAGAGAAATTTACAGAATGACAAAGGCAAGAGAAGCTGTGGACCCTGAATACGAGCTCAGTGGCAAACTGCAAAGGACATGAAGGCTTCAATGAAGAGATGCAATGAGAGCACTGTAGAATTAGCTCTTTGCGTAATCCAGCTGCACAATAGTTTTCATTCTCCAGCAAACTATCTGATCTTTATGTGAGGCAGGATAAAATCTTGCTTACTTAAAATTAGAAGGCTCCAATTGCAAGTTGAGCCAAATGTACCCTGACAAGGCTCTGCTGTGTCATTTTGTCTGGGCACAAATCTGTACTTTCTTTAGGTAATACAGTTACTCAGCATTAGATGGTATGCTTTACTCCATGAGGAGAAAATTTGACTCATTCAGGCTCTATTTTCCATTCTCCACTTGTTCTTTTCAGTTATTCCACCATAGAGGCACCTGGTTGAAGCCCTGTGTACTGGCTTAATATAGTCTATGCTATCTGGTGTCCTAGTTACACTAAAGGAGCAAATTTGTGTTTGGTTTTGTTCTTGCTAGTTGTTAATAGTCTTTTAATAATGTCAAGCTGTCAACTGAATTTGGCCTTTTTGCTTAATTATGCCATTTTGTGAAACAAGCTGACCGTAACAGTTATTACAGGTGTAATAGCAGGATTGTAGATGCTTAAGGTAAAATAAGTGTGAAAGATTAGGGACCGTCCTAGAAAAACTGGCAAGGAGGTGATAACTGAGCTTTAAGGCACTGACTATTAGTCCTTGAACATTTTTGTTACCACTATAGATACCGTCATGTAATAATACTTGTAATGTTGAGACAGACTTCAGTCATAATAACCTGGATATATTTTAATAGGTGGATTTCTAAAAGCTTCCTGTGTGCCTGTGAACATCAGGTCCAGTTGGAAAGAAAATCCAGATGCTTCTGACAACCCAGCGGGAAAAACAAGAGCTCAGATTGCTACCAAAAGCACTTTATTAAAAAGAGCTCAGATTGGATTTATGGATTATGCTAAAACTTTATGTTAGCAGATGGGAAATAAACTGGGCCGTCTTCCTAATCTGTGCTGTGACAGAAATTTGAAATCAGAAAAAACAGAAAGATTTTAAAATATCATACAATGTGCAACTCATTCTTTTCTTTCTTCTTACCCATGACTTTGTTGACTTTCAGTACTTTCATGACAGACTTAACATGAACTTTTCTTTCCTTATGTTCATACTTTTGTGTGTATGTATATAATCAATTTGATGAAATTTTCAAAAGCACAATGTAACTTAAAGTAAACCTTTAGAAGACATAATAAAAAATGGTATTTTCTATAGAAAAAGGTGGGAGCCCTATTATTAATAATATTGTGGTTGTTTTTGTGATTAGTATTTTTATTGCTATAAATCCCTTACTATGGTACTCTAAGACTCTGCTTTTTAGGTATATATAATCAGAAAAGAAAGTGTAGTATTTAAATTTACTGATCTTGTTAAAATTATATTGTGGAGCAAGTGTATCAGTAGAGAAATGATACTATGAAACTATGAAATCAGAGGGGACTCAGCCTGGGATTTACTTTAGTTCAATTCTAAAGTTAAAAACCTTGTCAGAAAGTTTTGAGCAACTTAGAGCAACAGGATGAAACCTACCCTTGTGACATAGCAGTATCTCAAATATCAGTGAGAACGCTGATTTCAAACTGTGCGCTGAATAGTTGTTTGTATCAGTGACAGTTGGCATTTAGTGACAGTGGTGTCTGGCTGCCATTGGTCACCAGGAAAAAGACACTCATTAGCATAAATACAGATATACTACTGAAAAAGCTGAAAACTCTAGGACCAGCAAGTTTCTTATATGGTCCTTGACTGAGGGTGACAGGTGGCATAGCTACTTAAATGATTTCGTGGTCATGATAAAACTATTGATGTAACATATGCTATTTTAATGCTGTTACATCATCTGTATCTCAGATGCCTTTGCTGATAAATCAAGGACTGTCCACAAACCTAAGATTTCATTGAATCTACTGGAAACTTCCCTGTTTAGGGACAAAGACTTCTGAGTTAGTTCATTTTTGCATGGTTGTGCTGCACAGTCCATTGTACAGACCTTCTGTCTTTGCCACAGGACAGATGTTAAGTTAATAAAGGGACTTCTAAGCTACCGCTGGCCAGCAAATTCTTTTGCAGAACAAGTGCCTATTCTGGCACTGGCTTCAGTTTTCTTTGGATGAAAGCATATTATCTTGGACATTTTGTTGTGCTGGGGGAGGCTTTTACGATTCTGTAGAGAAGAGGTCTAGCAGAACAGTGTATTTTAAGAAGTGCTACTAATAAAGCACATTTATTGCAACATATACAAGTAACAGAAGAACACATCACTTTCTAAGTATACTTGAAAATAGTTATTAACCACGATACGTGCTTTTGTAAAGCAAAGCATGCTATTTTGAAAGGACGTAAAGGACAACACCAAGTTCTGTTTTTGAAGTATGATTTCAGGATGAGAAAACTGAACTGGTTTACTGGTTTTGTTTGTTCTTTTTTATTTTCTTTTTTTTTTCAGTGAAATACGAAGAGCTGTATTGTTTCTCATTCAATCCAAAATTAGATAAAGAAGAACGAGAAGAAGGCTGGAAGCTTGTGAACCTCAATGAAGAATATACTAGGATGGGTATTCCGAACACCTATTGGCAGATTAGCGATGTGAACAGAGACTACGGAGTGAGTTGTTGTGATTTTTCTGTTACAGAGGCTGTCTGTAAAGTAAATCAGCAGTCCTGCTGTGGACTACCGTAGTGCATAGATGCAGGATCCCTTTGTGCTCAGTGCTCTACACACATCTAGTAAGGTGCAGTTCTTCCACTCTTTCACATGAAAAGGCACATAGAAAGTGGGAGTCATTTTAAGTCTTAAAATGCAGTCATTTTCAGGAAAAAAAATGTCTTGAAATAGTGAATTTGGCAATATTTTTTTTCCTCGCTGGCTATCATCACAATGCTTTTGAAGCCTCTGATTGAATGTTAGTGTTTTTCACAGTTATCTGATAGCTCACATATCTTCCTAGCTGCCTGCTGTCCTGTCTAGTTCAGTCTTGTATGATTAAAGTCCCTAGAATGTTAATTAATTGTGAGAAGTAATAACAAACGAAAGTATTTTTGAAGGAAGCTTGTCCATGCACTCCATTGGCTCTGTTGTGGGATCATATTCATGTTAAGGAAGGCCTGTGAAGTTCTCAGAGAAGATTGAATGTGCTGTCAAGATTTGTTTTCTTTTTATTAAAACAAGTGGAAAAAATAGTTGATCTCTTTTAAGATAAAGTGTAGGAAAAATGGCATTATGAATAAAACCCAGTTCGCCACAGCAGCATCTGTAACCACAAGCCCTTCTTTTTCTTTCTCCTTCATCACATATCTCTGACTCTCACAGAACCTAATTTCATCCTGCATCCTAATTCCTTCAGTCATCTCAGAAAGTCCCAGGGAGGTTTACTGCATATCCTTTTGACCCCAGCCAGAATGCCACAGGCAGTATCGAGAAAAGGAAGTTAGACCAGAACCCCAGTTGTGGTCCCATTTGTGTCTAGAGGAGCTTCTGCAGGGCTGTTTTGCAGCTCATTGAGTTCCTTTCAGAAGTGGTAGGCATTGCCACACCTGCTTGTCTTTTGGGAGCCTCATTTCGTATGGATTCGTTTCTTTTCTCAAAGTCTCTATTTTGTCATTAATTTTTTTATTACCAGATTTGCTGGAAAATTTGGCTCTAAGGTCCCCTCCCATTGTAACAGAGGGGTGTTTGAGACCTTCACACTCTCCTTTCCTTACTTCCAAATTCTGCCGCAGAGGAAACTGCAAGTGTAAATACAACCTTCCTGTACATAATGATGAATCTTTTGTGGTATGAATGTATGTTGTACCTGTCTGTTCTTAGTGTGATTTAACATTTGGAAATGCAGCCCTTCAACCCTTATGCTTCAGTTTTGCCACCTGTAAGTTAGAATTAATACTTTCCATCTTCAAAAGACTGCTTTGAGAAATGTCGTTGGTGTATATAAAATAATGATGGAATATTTCCTGAGATTAGAGTCCTTTGGTGTTTTGCTTTTTATTGTGGAGATGGCTAATGTTACTTGTATTTTGTAGACCAAATAAGCTGAGTTTCCTTTTACAGGTCTGTGACTCCTATCCTACAGAAGTGTATGTACCAAAGTCCACGACTGCGCACATCATAGTGGGGAGCTCTAAATTTCGGAGCCGAAGGCGTTTCCCAGCTCTTTCCTACTATTGCAAGCATAACAACGTAAGTGTGAGTTTGTAGCTTTGAAGTGTTTGCTTATTTTGGCCTTGCTTTCATAATTCTTCTAGTAAGATTTCACAAGAAGAAATCAGGGATTTTTGTATTAAAAAAAATAAAAATAGAAGGTGGTTAGTGTAGTCTGGTTAGTGTGGTTTGTGCATATGGGCACACACTGAAATTATGGTTGGTTCATTGATAGGCATTTAATGCAGTCATTCAAACTCAGCTTCATCATCCAGCTGACACAAAAAAATGTGATCCCTGTGTTACAAGGAAGCTGAGTAGTACAAGAGGTCCTGGTGGCAGGAGAGTGAAGGCCAATGGCAGATGACTGGAAGGAGAACAGAGCAATTTAGGATCTGGTCGCTACAGCCTGAGAGCAAGCCAAAGAGGAGAAAAACTATACTTGCAGCAATTAAAAAATCGGAAGTAGCCTTTCGAGAAAAGGTGTGTGAATAGACCCAAAACGGATGGATGAAAGAGCTACCAAATTCTGGCTGAGCAGCGTGTCGTGGCTTTGTTGAAGAGGCTCTCCTTGTCTGTAAGAGCAAGGAGTGCCACCTTCTCCTCTCCATGAGAGATACTCTCAGGGCTGATTGAGGAACTGCCTCACTTGTCCATAATGATTTGGAAAAAACTCCGTACCTAGACTATTTGCACTTCTGTTTCTGGCAGCTGAGGTAAAGGAGATTCTTGGACTGAAGGATCCCATGGACTGGGTGTTTTCACATTTTGTGTCCCAGCCCCCTAGAGACTGGCTAAGCTCAGCTATGACTACCAGTTAGGAGAATGGTGTCCCCTTTGTCCTCACAAAGGATCTGTGTGTCTGATATCTCGTCCTGCATGCATTGGTGTAAGTTGAGTGTAATCAGTATCATAACTTCGAAGAGAGAGTGACAGTGCTAAAGGACCCATTCTTCCTGCTACATCAGTGTTCTTGTGGTTGCAATGTTGTACTCATCACGTCCTCTAGAGATCACCTTTTGAGTTATTCTACATTAGGGGAAGACTATATTTAAAATAGCTCTAAAACTTGGATTCAATGCCCTGGGTCAATGGGCTTGTATTTTAAAATGAATCCTTGCCTTTTAAAAATGAATTTGTTGAGTGACATGTAATTCATTCTACCATTCTGCCCTTCCAATATAACTGTACACCTACAGAAACGTCTAATGAGCTGTTTTAATGTGTGCTTCTGCATGCTAAATAATTTCTGCTTCCTAATGATGTTGATTTTTTGTTTGTTTTTCTGCAGGCGTCCATATGTAGAAGCAGCCAGCCTTTATCTGGCTTTAGTGCTCGATGCCTTGAGGACGAACAGATGCTCCAGGCCATTAGAAAAGCAAATCCAGCAAGTGATTTCCTATATGTTGTTGACACTCGGCCCAAAGTAAGTACAGTGAATTTCTTGTGCATAGCAAGACTGAACCTGTGATGAATACAGTAGGGAAGATGCACAGCCCAAATGCCTGACCATACTTATGATTTCAGTTGCACCTGTGTAACTCCACAGGTAAATCAGGATTTATCAGGGAGATCTTAACTAAGAACCTTGCCCACATTTTTATCTCTTAGATATTTTTTCTTTACACTGAGCTTTTCTATTTTTTATTATTAACAATATTAAGGTACAGAGAAGTAAATAACCTGGAATAGTAACTGTTTCCACACACAAAGGAGCTGTCAGTAACTATATTACTGAGCCTTGGGAAAAATAATTCCCATTATAGAACTGTATTTACAGTTGTTTGTAATGTTGCAAACCTCTGCCTGCTTATACTAAAATTTCCCATGCAAGATTTCTCCTGCAAGTGGGAAAATTTCAATGACTTCTGCATAAGACTAAGGAAAGACCATTTACTGTGGTTACAGGAATTGAGGAGACCATCTTTGAATATCTCCAGCACTTTTGTGTTTTTGAGAGAGAATCTGAGTATGGTAAACAGTGATCTCAGATGCCATATCTCTATAATTTATTAAAATCTTTGAACAAGATAAAAGTTTTATGAAATATTGCTATGTGCAGAAACACAGAAACTCAATAATGATGTAGAAGAGGTTGCTAAAAAAGCTAAAAAAAGAGGAAGCTAAAAAAACCCTTGTGTCCAAATTTGGCATGCTAGCAAATAGCTTGAGGTGACGTGGACTAGATAGGCTTCAGTGTCTGGAGGTGGGAGCAGAGATACATTCTTTCTTATACTATCAGTAACTCACCTGTTGAAGTTACCAAAGCATCAGAAGAAAAGAAACCCAAGAGCCAAATCTCCACAAAATCCCTGCTAGATGAAGAGTGAGCTATAACGGGGAAAAGGAAAAATGAGAGCAAAAGCTTGAGGAAAAGGCACGAGGAAGCTGTTTCAGCATCCTGAGATCAGAAGACAGAGCCTGAAAGGGCAAGGTGGCTAAAGCTGAGCAATATGAGAAATGGAACAGGGAAGGGCAAACTTGGCAGACTTTCTTCAGGAGCCAGTCAGCAGGTTAAAACTGTTTGCTTTCATTGAATTTCTCTGGGAAAAAAGAAGAGTTCTTATGTAAAGAAATTTGTTTGCACAGATTCCTACTTATCTCTGTCAGGGCTGCAGGAACAGACTGATTTTCTAAAGCTCCTGTGATCTCAGGTGCCAAATACAGTCTTGTTACAGCTGTTACAGTTAATTTTGCAGCTCCTAATGCATGTATAAATCTATAGCATGTAGGAAGTGATAGATACCAGTGCAAGCTGTTCCTGGCATTCCTCAGAGAACCTGTACAAAATGCAAAGGTAAGTTACTGAGTCTGCTGCAAAGTTTCCCATTGCTCTAGGAAGCTAAAAAACTACCTGCCTCTTCTCTCATCAGAACTGGTTCCTTGCAAAGATGATGAATATTGATGGGCCAGCAAATTCAGTGTTCCCAAGTGCTCTTCCTATGCTGACCCTCACTGTGCTTGATAATCTTCAAAGCAAAAGCTTTGGCTGCAGAAGAAAACCTTGTTTTCACTTTGTTTAATATACCAGGATGACCACGTGCAGAGCTTTACTCAGGCTACTGCCTTTCTTCGTTTATTCCTTCCTCTATGTGTTTACAGAAGAAGCTGATTTAAACTTAATGCTGATGAGTGAAACAAATTCATTCTATAGCTCTTTATAACAAGAGAGGACTGGGTTATCATCCACATTAAAGATGATGCCAGGAAATCTGGCAAGTGAGGTCTGTTCCCATTAGAGGTTGTCTCCTCTTTTTCACTGAGATTGAGCAAGGACAAGCTCAATTTAGAGAGCTTTACAACACTACTTTAAGAGCAACAGTTGAAATTTTGGTAGGTGATGTGGAAAACTTGTTAGTAAATATTGTGGCAGCTGCAAAGTTTGGCAACAGGCAATATTTAAAATAATTGAGTGTCAGAAAGCTTTGCAAATTTAACCTTATATTTATTTGCTTTTAAAGAGGGCTATTTCAGACTGCCTTAATAAAAGGTTTCTCTGATAAAATTGCTCTGCAGCAGAGACAGTTAATAGCATTTATTGTACTGAGGATTGGGTCAGTTAGGGGGTAGATGTTTCTCATTTAGGGTTTAACGAGTTTGTGATGGCTTAGACTCGTGTGGAGATCTTTCTTCTTGAAGCTACGTGCTATTGCAGAGAGAGACTGCTTAGTTTTATTTATATTAGAACACTGATACCTACTTCAAAAGAGACAGATTAAGATTCAGCAGATAATTTGTATCTTTCTAGAAAGTCACACTGTGGACTCTGTCCTGAAAGGACGTGCTGTTGGCAGGCTGTATCTTTTCTTTGTCTGTTGATAGTCAAAACATGAGCAGGATGCTGGTTGATAGAGAAGAAGCCTGCACTTTTTTTTGCCTACACTTTTTCCTGAATTGCATACTACAAATTAAAAGAAGTTTTACACAGGACTTGAGCAAATTAAAAATGCTGAGGTTTTGCATAGGTTCCTATTTTAGAGTATGGTTCCTTCTGTTGCATGATTAAATTAATGCAATATTTTAATTCCTAATGGTGGTCCACAAATGTAACTGTGTATTCCTATTGCCAAGTTCTGCTCATGGGAATGGATGCACTAGAAAGTGTGAAGAGGAGAAAAAATCGCCTATCTTCACATATTAAATTGGACAGAATAAAAGAATTGAAAAGCGGTCTCACTTGTGTGTTTGCTTATGTATCTAAAATGAAATTGTAATGCCGTAAAAAGCTTTTAGTCTTCAGCTGTTTCCTTTGAAAGTTATGGGGTCAAATTTGAACCATGGAGACCTATTTTGACATGATGCAAAAAAGCTAGACTTGTTCATCTTTGTTGGGATGAGGTGGCAGCAGACAGTCAGTCTTACTCACCTGCATGCATTTGGCTCCAAATTAAAATTGAATATTGGGAGTATGTGTGTTTGGGGTGGAAGACATCAGAAAGAGACACATTCTTGTATATCCTATGATACCATTAGCTGAGTACTGAAGTATATCAGTTTGAGTTTCAGAAGTGACCACAGAAACAGCACATCAATAGGACTGCCTGTGATACTGGGAAATGAACTGGAAATGAAGTTATCTGCATCACCTCTTATCCCCTAAACAATACCTAAGAGTAGCTTTGTTTTGATATTTCATGGGCACTGGCTCTCAGTGCAGTGAGGATGAGCCACTTTTTGTCCAACTGATACCTCAAAAGGTCCCTCCAGAAGCTTTGTTAGTGCCCTCCAGTCTGGTCTGGGTGTGCACTGTCCCTTGTCATTTAGTTCTTAAATCTTTCCTGAGCAGCAGCTGTTGGTTATGGTTGGAGGTGTGGAGGTTCTGCAGCATGGGCCCCTGTTACTGCTGGAGCCTTCATATTTCTTGGGAAGTTCAAAGGCTCCCCAGCCTTACAGTGTGCATTTCATAGAAGATCAGGGACGTTACGCAAAAACACAATTTCTTTCTATTGGACACTGAGATTTTGCTGTAATAAAAATAGATAGGGTAATAAAGTTAAAGTACTTAATTCATTTCTGTCTGCTCTAGTTTACAGCCCAGAGATAAAAATTTGGCTTGGCAGATAGTTTTCCCCCCCCCCCCAAGAATTTCAAAGGAGGGAAATTAAGCATTAAAAAAAACCCCTAATTTTATGCTTGGGAAAACTGAAGAAGCATTTAGTGACTTTCCCATGCCAGGAAGCAAGTAACAGATTCAAAGGCAAAACTCTAGCTTCCAGTTGAATGTATTTTTTGCTGAAGCATAGCAAGATATTTGATAGAGCTGCATTGCAGATGAAAATATTTGTGGTAATTCTGTCAATTCAAATATTTTGTGGTCTTACACAACTAGAGTCAAGCTAGTATAAACTCAGGAAAAACTATTCCAACTCTCTCTTTGTTATTCTGAGGTTCAAAGAAATAAGCTTTATCAACTTTTCAATGATTTGAGTGGTAAAACACAGTAACTTGGGCAGCATGACAGTGTACATACACTATGAAACAGTGGCATGGCAGAGAAGACACTGCCACCTCCTGGGTATCTTCTGCTAGTAAACATAATGCTGATCAAAAATAGAATAGTTTTTTAAAAACAAAACGTTTTTGTGTCAAATGAAGTTTCACTCAAAGTATGCGAAGGAGAGATCAGAGCCTCAGCAACCCCGTGCCCTGCGATAGGGTGTACACAGACCCCCAATTCCTAACCCGTTGTGTTGACACTCTGATAATTGCTTCTTGTGCCTGATTTAAGTCAGTCTGATTTATTGCCATAGACCGTGAGTTTTGTTTTGAAAATAATGTTTGATAGTGGTTTTCATCCAGTTTTCCCTGTTTTTCAGCTCAATGCAATGGCAAACAGAGCAGCAGGGAAGGGATATGAAAATGAAGACAATTACTCCAACATCAAGTTTCAATTCATAGGCATTGAGAACATCCATGTCATGAGAAACAGTCTGCAGAAAATGCTTGAAGGTAATGTCTTTTTTATTGAAAACTAGAGGAAAGATTTCATCCTTCTGTCATACAAATCAGGGTAACTGCTCTGAAATCAACAGCAGTGAAAATGGGTATGAACAGAGAGCTTTGCCCGTTGCAGCCGCATGCAGCTGCCTGCTGGTAAATGGGACTTGTGCAACGGAGCATCATTGCAACTACTGGTGATTTCCTAATTCTGCACACTAAGCTCAGAAAACCTTTGGTTTAATTTTTTTTGTATTATTTATCTGGTCAAGTAGGTAGTCATGCATTTTAGACTTTGAATTTTAACAGAAACTTACTCATGCCCTGTATAGAGCGTGTCACATCAAGATTATTTATGAAACTCACAGTCAATGGGTGTAACCATTCAGCACCTTCATAATCCCATGGAAAGTAATAGTAATTGCTTTATAAATACTTATCAATGTATAAACGAGCACATCTTTACTGCCATTTGAGTATATTACTGTTTAGAGGCCTTCTGGGAAAAGCGTAAGAACAAATAAGCCATCCTTGACCCTCAATGACATGTGGATTTTTAACAAGCTGATAGTGCTCACTCCACTCCAGACTCTCGGTATTTACTTCATTTATCAGCAGCATCTCCTAGATCAGCCTGATCTGGCTATGCCTGACTTGACACTCTACCCCCCCTCATATATTCTTCATCCATCTTTCATTATCTGTATGCAAATGTGAATTTTAGATCTAAGAAGGGCTTACACTTTCCACAACAGGAGAGCTGTACTCTGTTTTCCAGTAAGAGCAGTTTATGAAAACCAACAGTAAAGTGTGATACAGGCAAAACAGTTACTCCCTTCTGGACATATTTTTACTCAATTCCTTGGTCTAAGTGTCTCGAGAAAGAAAGTAGAAGGATTTTTAGTTCGCTACAAAGTCTTGTTCAGCTAGGAGAAATGCTGGGTGAATAAACCTGTTCCTTTATTTATTCAGCTTAAGACTATCAAAGTTAAAATAGTAAACACGCAGCCTGGCTGCATGGGACAGTGTCATGTTATTTCTAAGCCAAAAATTCGTGAGACAGGCTCATGACCCAAACTGACATGTAACGAGGTAATTTCTAATGCATTTAACACTTCAGGCTGCTTGGCGGGTGTAACTTCTTAGCATCTATTTTTAGATAAGCCATATGCTCAAAACATCTGCTTTTTTTGTAGGTTTTATATTTGCTATGTTGAAATATCTTATTTAGCGACCTGGCTGATTGGAGTAAATATTAGAGAAGTTAAATCCATGATTTCAAGCACTTTAAGCTTTCAAGTAGTTGGAGTTTTTTTATAATCCTGTAACTTTCAGTGTACAAGCAGGGCTTTTCTCATATAAGGGGCTGTGTAGTTTTAATTTTTTTTCCATTTGTATCAGTGTTCCTTCATCTGTTTCCCTGGTGGTTTTTTATAAGGGTATTTATTACTTGACCTGTGCATACAAAGGCAACCAGAACCAAAAAGGCTGTCAAGGACGATGACGGCATACATTTAGTATGGCTTTAAATTTTTATCAAGGATTACTTAAACATACCCAAGTGAATTTCTAAGGTAAAACATCACACTACAAAATTACAAAATATGTCTGCTGCTCGTGATCTGTTATGAGATGTTACAAGACACATAAAAACCTTTGAAAAGACTGATGAAAACTGATTTTAGTTTGACGTGTGTATTATTAACTGTATTGTTCCTTGGAAGTGTACAGGATGGGAAAGAGGACATCAAGGCATAATGGGTCTGATGTGTTGCAGGAACGCAAGGGCAATTTTATTCAACTTACTGGAATTAAGAAGTGAAGGTCAGAGGATCTTTTTCACATGAGAGGCTGCAGATTATTTTCAATTGATTATTCAGTTTTCCATTAAACATACATGTATATTAGGAATGTGTTCATTTCAATGATGTTTCTTAAGGAAAAAGCTGAATAAACTAATTTATATTTATAATAATGTCAATAATTTATTGGAGTAGGTAAAAAAATTAGTTTCACCTTTGTGATTTTACCGACTTTAATTCTAGCAGTGTTATGTATCATAACCTTAACATGTATTTGCTCCTGTATAATGTTAATTTTTGGCAAAATATATTAGCATTATAAAATGATTAAATTTGTAGGATAATGAGATTTTTTTCAGAATATGCAAAAAATGTTGAGATTTGACTGTACTCTGGAAGCAAAATGCATTTCAGCATGCTGGAATTTCCTTCCAGAAAAAAAAAACGTTTTACTTTTGTCTCTGCTGCCTCATATAGCTTTAGTATAGTATTGATTTTTTTTTTCATTCAAAGAGGTGTGTATGTGAAGATACTTGTGATAATTTTGATCCTATGCACAGCCTCCTTGAAATAATGTTTAATGTTAAAAGGAATCATAGAATAATGGAATCATGAATGGTTTGGGTTGGAAGGGACCTTCAAGATCATCCAGTCCAACCCCCCTGCCATAGGCAGGGACACCTCCCACCAGACCAGGTTGCCCAAAGCCCTGTCCAACCTGGCCTTGAACACTTCCAGGGAGAGAGCATCCACAACTTCCCTGGGCAACCTGTGCCAGTGCCTCACCACCCTCACAGTAAGGAATTTCTTCCTAATATCTAGTCTAAATCTACCCTTTTCCAGTTTAAAACTGTTACCTCTTGTCCTATCACTACATTGCTTGATAAAGAGTCCCTCACCATCTTGCCTGTGTGCCCCCTTTAAGTACTGCCATAAGGTCTCCCCGAGGCCTTCTTTTCTCCAAGCTGAACAACCCCAAAATGTTGCAGAAGGACTTTTCTCAGTCAAGGTTGCTTCAAGAGCTGACTGAGGCCACTCTTTGGTATTTATGATGGGTGAGCTTTGCCATACTTCCAGGGGACAACCAAGACTTGACCCCTGTTTGTTGTGCATAGCCATGATAACCCTACATGCTCCCTGTCTGTATTTAAACAGCAGAAAGGAGCTTCTCCTCCCCTCGTACCAGGAGCACTAGTTGCTGATATAAGAGGAGCCCTCTGGTCCTTGGACTTGAGCGACAGATCATTCAGAAGGACAGCCTTAGGATGTGGCCCACAGCATTTACTCCTTCCTCTACCGATGGCCACACTGTCAGAAATGGCGGGACTGGTCCAGCATCCCCCTCTGGTACTTTTGTTGGTGGAAGAGGCAGTTCCCACCATGTGCCCTGTTTCTTCTTCGCTCCTGCAGAAGGGAGCAGCGCTGGGTTGCTGTGAGCTCTTCCCAGGGGCTCTTGATTTTCCTTTGCCCACACAGCGAGTGCAGCAAGTTTTATTTCTCCAAGATTTTGGTACCTTTTTCACCAAGATGGAAACACTTTTACCACTTAAGATAAGCCTCATAATTGAATCCATAATTGAACTCAGTATTAAAGTCTGGATCAGTAGCCAAAATAATGTGAAACATACAGTGTATGCCTTTAGGACACTCTGAACTTTGCTCAGTGGTCAGTAAATATTGGTAGTGGGAATGAGCAAAGCACTTTCAGCCTTGCCTTGGGTTTCTGTAAACAGAGACAGCAGCTTCATCCAGAATTCAGCTACTAATTGGTCATGCTTCCATCTGCACAGGAGTATTAATCATGGGAAAAGCTGTTTGCTCTCAGTGCTGCTATCTATGCTTTTTTATAAATATCCTTCAAAAATGACTTTTAAAATAACCATCTGGAAGAGGCCCTGAGTACTAAGATTGCAAGACTTTGTATGGACACATTAGGCTATTCTGCCCCTGAATTAAACAGAGTTAAGATAGTCAGACATGTTCATATGTGGTATAAACTCTGACATTGGCTGGAAATTAAATTCCAGTTACATTGAAGGAAACTGAAGTTACGCCACTAGTCATAATGGCCATCATTAACTGAGTCTTTTAGGAGATTTCCAGAGGAAATTTGTACATCCATGATTAATTCACAGATCATACATTGACTCAGTAACAACCATGACAGTTTTCACTGTATTCCTTAAATGAGTTTCATTGGTTAGTGTCTTTTTCCTTAAAAGACAGTATAATTCTTCATGGACCCAATTAAATGTGTAGTCTGTTTATGGGGGGAATTTAGTATCTCACTGTTGAAAATTGCTCAAATTTTCAAATATACTCAAATTTTGTTGAGTATTTGTTTGCTGCTGGATTGAGGTATCTGAAGTAGATTCCGATTGCTTTTTTTTTCTTCTGATGTCACAAACTGTGATATTAAAAAACCAGACACTTGAATACAGGATAGAAAATGTAAAAACTTGGAGATTTTTTTTTTCTTTGAACAAGGCATAATGCTTGGAAGGTTTTCAGGAAGATATTTTCCTTGCTGAATTATGGCTTTTCCTCACCGTCAGAATACTTTCTGGCTATAAGTGAAGTTTTAATAAGGTTTCAATCAGGGATGGGGAACTGTTGAGTGAATCACTTTGTCTCAAACACCATCATCTGTGGTGATGCTGAAGGCTGAGTTTGGTGGTCCTGCTCTTACAGAGCTTCATCACCAAATGTGGTGGGAATAGGAGGCTGTGGCACCCCTTAGGTGGCTGTCAGTCTGTCAAATGCTTTCTGTTTCAAAGCCTTCATTATTAGACAGAAGATCCCCTCTCGGGCTTGAAAACTTCGCTCCCAACACAATTTTGGAAAATCTGTGCTGCACAGAAGGATGCATTTGATAAACTGTGTGCAACAGGCTTTGTAACAGATTCTCTTTTTAAATTAAATCATCATATTGAGTGAAATTTCACCATCTCCATTTCTCAAATATATGGTTTTTTTCAGTGTTAGACTATGAAGTAGCCATTATTTTCAAAACATGGATATTTTACACAAGGGCTGTCAGTGAAAACTAAAGGGACTGTATTTACTGAATGTTTAAGATATGGCTTATTTTGCAGTTTGTGAGCTGAAATCGCCTTCAATGAGTGACTTTCTGTGGGGCCTAGAAAACTCTGGCTGGCTGAAGCATATCAAAGCCATTATGGATGCTGGCATTTTTATTGCAAAGGTAACGTGTGTAAAATGAAAACAAAACTTGGACTAACCAGATACAGAAAGTGAGGACCAAATTCTCTGCTTGTGGGTAACTTCTGTTACCTTCAGTGATGTTTTATCTGAAATAAAACCCCATCTTGCAATGCTTCATATAAGAGGAGAGACGATTCTTAGGTGCTGCCATGTGGACATTTTGCTAATATGGTAAAATAAAGTTTGTGTTCTTCTCACTGAAGAATTCAAATGTACTAAAGGCTCTGCTCACTTGTATCTTGTTGTGCTGGGTATTTGAATGCCCTTACTTTGCTCCCCAGCAGCATT